AGCCGCCAAGAACCGCCCCGGCTCCGGCTAACAATAGGATCCGGCCGCAGCGCTCTGGCTCTTATAGGCGCCGGCACGTCCGGACTGAGCCCCGGGGCACGCTGGGAAATGGAGTCTACGTGCCTGCCCCACGCCCAGCGGCATGCCGGGAGTTGGAGGCGGATACCAGAGCAAAGCCGAAACTCTCCCGCAAACAGGCTCCCGGAGGCGGCGCCTCTGCTGCAGCGGACCCTGGGAAAGCGAGTTTGGCGCAGCTGCAGCCTTTTGAAGAGGAAGACGGGAGACCCTCAGCTACTTATCTTCAATGACTGAACAAATACTCCTCTAAAACGCTCCTTTTTCCTTTCGCCAGGCTCACACTCCCAAGCCTAAAGGACATAATCCCCCTTATCCTCGTTATCCAGGATCTTAGTCTTAAACAGCGTTATGTGCTGCAGCCTGCCCAAAGTGTGAAGAAAATGCAAGCAATGCACAGTAATCTCAGTATGTATTGATGGATTGTTTTCTTTCCAAAATTTTCTTACATCATTTCTGATCTGCACAGCTTTGCAACCCATTTCTAAAACGGGGGAAACGAAGCTTCAGAACTCAGAAGTTGTGTGTCTCTTGCCAAGGACATCCACAGCCTTGGTTTTGGATCTCACTCAGAATGGAAGGACATATTTCTTCCTTGACCTATAAGGCCCTATAAGACAGAGGTGCACCCTCTCACGTCACCAACGCCCATCCTATATGTTGTATTCTCTCCTACTTCTCCCTTCCCTTACTCTCCTTTACACTGGCCCCCTGGCCTCCTTGCAGTCTCTTTAACAGGACAATCATGCTCTCACCTCAGGGTCTTTTTGCTTGGAACACTCTTTCACCCGCTAGACACATACTTACTCCTTCACTTAATATTTGCTCAAATGTCCCTTTATCAGAGACCCTTCCTTGACCATATTTCTAAAATGGTGCTTCCTCTAAGTCTCTGTCCCCTTGTGTTACATATATATATATTTAAGCATTTACCATTTGACATGTATTTGTTTTTCTGTCTTCTTTTACTTGATTAAATTTCATGAGAGTAAGAGATTGTTCCATTTACTGTATCCTCAGCACCCAGCACAAAGCCTGGTATTTGACATGAAGGAGCTCCATGGATATTTCATAGATATTTATTGAATGGATGGGTGGCAGGATTTAAACTCAAGTTACACTGGTTCCAAAGCATAGTGCACTTTTCATTGCCACCAAGAACTATGAGTCAGATCTACTGGCTACCAAGCCGGCTCAGTTTTTAAATTGGGAGGTTAGGTGGCTTGAAAAAAATGCCAAGAATTCCAGTTCTCTCCCCAAGGTGACAACAGAGACCCCAGGAAGCTAGGAAACAACACTGCAAAATGAAAAGCAGATTAAAAAAAAAAAGCAACCCTTAGGGCCACCTATCTGCTAAAATTTAGGCATGATATAACATGTGATCAAGGCATGAATCCTGGAGCCAGACAGCCTGAATATAAACCCCAATTCCTCCTACTAATCGTGTGACCCTTGGCGAGGTATGCAACTTCCCTGGGCCTTACCTTCCTTATCTGCAAAGTGGGTATAACAGTATGTATCTCATAGGGTTTTGTGGAGATTAAATAGCTAATACAGTATAAAATGTTTACAACACAGTCAACGTAATGTAAATGTTCACTTTTCTGTTTTTCCTGGACACACAGGAAGAAGGCTTCAGACTCTGTAGAATCAGTGGACTAAGTAATAAAAAATGGCCTGAAGGCCATGCCATGTTGGGTAGGCTAAAAAAAAGTGTTTCATAGGTCTACACATCAAGAATTTGAGCAGTCATGGAAACTCATCAGAATACCATCAGCCTCTTCAATGCCCAAGCTTTGTTGGTTAATGACACCAAACTAGAAGACAGCCAAAGCAAACTTAGCACATCCTTTGAGAAAACAGCAGAATCCAATTTGGCAGTAAGCTCTAATCAGTCAAAACAATCATCTGGACTTCTAACAAACAACACAACCACTTATCACAGTCACTTATTCACCATATTTCATTGTCTTGTTAGAATCACTAGGTAAGTTATTACAATGGTGCCACTTCAGCCATAATAACTGCAATTATGCTTCCAACCTAAGCAGGACCTGTGGAGGGCAAATGACCATGAAGCTCAAGTGCAGAAGAGTAGAAACTACAAAGAAAAGTGAAAAGAAATGCTAATATTATTAATATGTAAAAAATAACAATGACATCTAATTCTAAATGTGCTGTCTTGTTCTAGGCCACGCACAATTCATGGATGCCTGGGTTTGATTTAGGGACAAAACAGTCAAATAGGAAGAAAAGACATATGATCAAGAACAGCAGCCAAAGATGAAAACCAAAGATCAGATTTTATGTCCCAGGTAGTGCTTATACATCTGTTTTGCAGTCATGTCTTTATGTAGAAGTGATCTTGTCTAATAATAGTAGTAGTATATTATACAATCATATAATATAATATAATATAACAGTATCCTAAATTTATTGAGCAACTGAATAGTAAGTACAAAATAACTGTTTTATATTCATTATCCTTTGTAATCTCTCCAACAATCCTATGAATTAAGTATTACCTCCTTTTTAAGATGAAAAAGTTGAGGTTTAAGAGATTATTTTGTCCAAGGTCACACCCAGGAAGAGCAAGATTTGGGATTTGAGCAGAGGCTTATCTGGCACCAAAGTATATAATGTATCAACTACCCTTTACCAAAAGAAACAAACAGTACTCCCTCCAGGGAGGTTGAAAATTAATGGGTCAGAGGATACTCTGTGCTGAGCTTCTTAGAGAAAAAGAGTTAAGATAAAAGTCTAAGCCATTGTATTTGTTTTTCTGATACAGAATTTATAGACTTTGTAGATTTACTTTACTAGTTTATGTTTAATTATAATCCAGATCTAGAGATACAGGTACCTCTTTATGACTAATTCCAAACTAACCAAAAGAGATCAATAGGGCAAATCTGGGAGAAAGACAGCCACAGCAATTTAATTAAGCACAAACACGGTAGAAGCTGTGTGTTTTATCAAGGAAGAAGGTTTTCAAAAGGACATACACAAATTGATCTATGTATGTGCATAACACACACACACAAACACAAACCCTATCTAGAAAGCAAAATAACAAGGTTTGAGGGGACAAGACTCCAAGGGTGAGTTTAGAGAAGTCAAGCTTAATAAGCCTAAAAAAGGTGAATGAAAGTCTGAATCAAAGTCATAAAAGATGTCTAGGGAGAGATATTAACTAAATCCTTAATTGAAAAGTTAGACATTAAACTCAGGAAGAAAACTGGAATCTGCAGTGATTAAAATGAGGAATATTTACCTCATATTATGCAAATATATGAAAATAGATAAACTGGGTATTACTCATGTCCCAAAAGATCCCATACAATACGAAATATTACAACAATACAATAGTATTTTTTAAATACCAAGTTCCTTTATAAGTGACATTAATCCAATTGAAAATTGTAATTTGTATACAATTTTTAAATCTCTGAATTTGAGAGTGCAAATGCTAGGCTTGGTTGCAATTTCCAAGTTAACATGTTGAACAGGCCTATGTTCATACGGAACAGCTCAAAGGAGATCTGGCAATGAAGAAGAAAGATGAAGAAAAAGGGAGGAAGGAGAAAGAGAGAGAAGTTCAAGGTCAAAGGTAAAACACAAGGTCACTGAAAGAAGCAAGAAGGAGAAATAAAGTATTAACAAAACAGAAAATACAAGTGCTGATGGCATTAACCTCAAGTCACATAGGTCATCTTTTACAGCTCATTCCACTTTGCAGCGGTAGTAAATTCTTCCTCATTTAAGCCTTGGAGTTTGTACAATGAAACCAAAATTTAATCACAAACTAAAAATAAATATTCTAGTAGGAAAAGCCTCGGCTCACAACTAGGAAAACAGAGCATTTTTAGGAGAAGCAGACGAGAGATGCAGGATTACTTTATATGAATTACCACATAAAAAATGCAGCTAGGTGGGGCATTTGTGCCATTCCTGCTGAGACTAGAGTTCTCCTAACAGACCAGTAGAGGACATAACAGATCAAATTCCCACAGAGGAAGCATCCATGGCCAAGAAAGCTGACTGAAGACTCAGAAAAACAATAAAATGCCTCAACTTCTCTGGCCCCAAGTTATCTGGAATTGTTAGGTACTGGCCAGAGAAAAAAGCTTCAGCGAAGAGGGAAAAACCCAGTCCTGACTTCAAATAGCTGTACCCCAAACTGGTGTTACTTTCAAAACTAAATGTTGAAGCTTCGGTCAGTCCTTCACAGTAGTCTGAAGACAGCTCAAATCTCTGCAGCAACCCTGTACAAAAGACTTTCTCTGAAAACTTGGGGATACAAAGGGTTTTCAGAACACTCTTCATTAGGCATAAATTAGAAATGGCTCGTCTCATTATGCCAAGCCTTCTTCACTTGCCAAGCTTCCCCATGCTCCTCCAACTCAGTGGTGAGGTCATGCTCTATCTCTCACAACATACCCAGTGCCTGACTGTACCTGACTTCCAGGAACCAGAACGTTTGCCCCCTCAAGAGGACCTCACTTTCTCAGGTCTTTCAGACTCTAGCTGTCCTGTATTGTTGTACTGAAATCTCAGACAGTAAGACCATCTTCATTTCCCATCCCTTTTATCTATCTATCTATCTATCTATCTATCTATCTATCTATCTATCTATCTATTTAATAGAGGTACTGGGGATTGAACCCAGGACCTCGTGCATGCTAAGCATGTGCTCTACCACTGAGCTATACCCCTACCTACTCCCATCCCTTTAAATGGCTTTTTAAACAAATCATTTCTGTGGGCAAACATTCTTATTGGAGCGCAATACTGGACAATCTTATTACTTAATAGCCACATTTTATGTAGTAATTTGTATTCAGTCCTTAAGAGTTCTGCGATGACCTCCCCCCTTTTACTTCCTGATCACTCCATTTTAACTATCAAGTCTATAAACAGATTCTTCTTGATGGAACCTATTATACCTCAAGGGAATAGTACAGACAATGCTAAGTCAAATAAGATGCTACTCCCCCCTCTCAGGAGGGCCTAAAATCTAACCATTTTCCTTCTCATATACCCTCACTCGAATGGAAACATTAAACCATCTCCTTTATTTTAAATATCAACTGTCACATTGTTAAAAAGGTAAAATCCAGTAAATTTTACTTTTAGGAATATATCTTAGAGATACACGCAAAAAAACTTATGAGGATGCATGTTCAAATGGACTTAACCTAAACGGGATCCATAGGGAATGGTCATTTTTTCAAAAGAATGTCAAACTATAAATCCTAACATAGAAAGGTATTCAAGACATGTTAAACACAGAAAGCAAACTGCAGAGCACGAGTGCTACATGAACCAAGTGGGTATTTGTGTCGGGGGTGGGGGGTGAGGAGAAAAGAGAAACTTTTTTGTAACGACTACCACTAAAGAGCGGGCCTAGGTGACAAGTAGAAAAAGTTGTACCATCCTTTGTTTGAATTTATCACGTTGTATATTACTTTCATAATGGAAAAGCTAGTTTAAATTTTTAATTGACAGCATCAATAGTGAAGAGATGCAATTTTTTAAAGTAAGTTGAATAATTACAATGTCCTATCACCACACCAATTCTTACCAATTACATAGCATCGGCACTATAAAATATTTTTTGGAGCTGAAGAAAGCCTAAGAGATCTTCTGGTTAATTTAAGGACCTGGGGGGGAGCCTATATAGCTCAGTGGTGGAGTGCATGCTTAGCATGCAAAAGATCCTAGATTTAATCCTCAGTACCCCTATCAAATAAATAAATAAACCTAATTACCACCCCCCTAAAAAAGGATCTATGATTACAAACTTATATATGTATTCATTTCTATATAAATTTGAAAACTACTCTAATAAAACCCCTAACACCAAGTAAAAATTAGTAAGTGTAAATTTATAGTAAATATATTAATAGAATTCTGTGTATCATTTACAGTAAACAAGAGTCACAGATTCAGATTTAGAAGGGACCTTAAAAGTTCAACCCTCTCAGCCTAACATTCAGAAAGAAATGGAATAAATAACGAATAAAAATAAAAATAGCAGCCTGCTGAGGAGAGCGCTGACGTCCCTGAAGCTGAGAACCAGTCCTAGAAACAATTAAAAATCAGAAAAAATACCATTAGAAATGTCCCCCGCAATGGAAATATCTGGTAATCATTCACTAAAAAAGCATTTTGGCCTAGTATTTCAAGTTGTCCAGGTCACTTTCAAATAAGTCATTTGACTTAATTTTCCAGTTTCAAAATTTTCAGTTTGTTTCAAACCAGAAGAAATCAGACCACGTTGCAGGTTGATTTTAATGAACGAAAATCTCTGTATAAAAACATTTAAACTTTATCAAATGCTTTAAAAACACACACACACACAGATCTGAATTCAGTACAGAATCTTTTGAACATTATCTTTCTTCACCTCAACATAATGTTTAAAGGGGTTTCTGGATAAAGCTTCATGGGTGAAAAAAGACCTGTAGTCTTACACATGCGCACACACAAGCGCACACAATCACAATCAGGAAGAACTAAAGAATATGGTAAGAATGCGAATGGGATCGGAATGAATTTCTTGTAAAGCCTATACAAAAGAACCCTACATGAGTGAAAGAACTTCCTATGCCAAAAGAAGAGGCAGAGAGGGCAAAGAGAAAGCAGGGGTTAGTCTAACTCGTTAATAAATAGTTTGAGAAGGTCATTCAAGAACAGTGAGTTTGGGGAGTTACTAGGGAGATAATCCCTAGTCTTCACCACCTCAAATTCTGTGAATCTGATAACTGATGATGCTTTAAAAGCATCTGTGTTTTAATTTTTTTAAGTCTTGATTTATTCATCATTATTTAGGTGTGGCTTATCCCTTTGGTGTTGATTCCTCGGTTCCAGCCACAGTAAGAAACCATGGAAAGCACAGGGCACTGCAAGGGTGGCAGTCACGGATGGCAGTTAACAAGAGCCAGATTGCCTGGGTGTGCATTTCAGTGTCATAGCCGCTAGCTGCCTGTTACCCAGCAAGCTCCTTAGCCACTCTGTGGCTCCTTTTCCTCATCTTCAATTAGGGATCATTATTACCAACTTCATATAGGTTTATTAAGAGAATTTAAACAAGATAATCCATGTAAATAATTTATCACACTGCCTGGCACAAGTAAATGTGCAACAAATATTAGCTAAAATTACTATTAGTCATAGAACTTCGGGGAATCAAAAGAAGAATTCTGTCCTATCTCTCTGTTCTTTGATGAGGTTTTCAGAGGCCAATTGTGGCAAAAAGCCAGTGTGTTTGATGCAAAAAAAGATTGAGCATCTAGTCTTATGAATAGAGATGTTCACTTTTATGTCAGAAAAAATTTACATGGCTCCAGACCACAAAACTTAACACCTTTCCATTACACATCACACAATTCTCATCACCATTATGCCCTACATTCACCCTAAATGATGTGGCGTTTCTATTGATATTCAACAACAAAAGGGTCCAGAAATGTTAATTAAGAATAGTTGCAGAAATGCATGTTGGGCAGTAATCTGTTTGTGCCACAGATCTTGGGCCAGCAAGGATGGCTGGGATTCTGCCTCCATGGCCAGGACTCCCCCACACAGTCAGACAGGTCAGGTCCTGCAGCCCTTCAAATCTCCATTTGCCACCCCTTTCAAGAGGGGAGGTTTCAATAGGTGAAGGACGCAGCAGCCACTGAGGAGGAAATGGCCCACACCTACTTCAGTATGATATGATAGCTATCATTGGTTTCTGCTGTAAAAAAAAAAAAAAAAAAAAAAGAGAGAGAGAAGAATCTTTAGTCAACTATAAAACACAGGAGAAAAATATGTAGGTAAGGTTTTTATAGAGAAAGAAAAAACAGCAGGACAAGGAGCAGTATAATTATTAATTATCACAGACAACCTGTAATAAATATAAAATAAATTATAAAACCAACATGCCTCAATTTCCTCATTTGTCCGCAGAAGGTGGAAGAGAATGGCACAGAGTTATCAGTTACACTTTGTCTACTCTGGTAATGGCAAGAAGCCAATTCATACAATGATGTCACTCTCTAATAATGTCACTTTCTTTACCTCAAATACGGCGGTTAATACTTTCCCTTTCTTCTCAAAGAAGTAAAATACTATTTAAAAAAGCTCTTACACTCTGTCAAGAAAAGCGTTTGTCTTACTATTTTATTACCTTTCATTGTGTCCAGAATAAAACAAGCTTCTTCCTGAAAGTTCTGTATCATCTGAAAAAAGCAAGAAATTCTGATTATTAAAAACTTCAGTTTGTAGTATTTATTTTGCCTATGTGGCTTTTTATTATGTCAGATCTAAGTGAAAAATAATCCTTCATTTTGTTTTCTCTCCTGTTTAGTTTTTAAAAGTTTTACAAGCTAAGCATTCTGAAACAGCGATCTTAAAACTGGAGTATGCGTTTTCCTGGGCTAACCCCAAGACTTTCCAAGGAGCACACAGATACAGATAGGCCCATATGGGAGGAATTCAACTTCCATTATTTGTTCTTTCCTAAAATTGCCCAAGAACCTCTTTGGTTTTCCTTTTCCACTTTCCCTTCTCAAACTCCCTTTTCCCAATTTATTAAATAAAGGTAAGAGTTTCACCCTCCTGGAGTCCTATGAAGATGCTCTGCCCTGGGATATAAAAGCCTACTGCAGAAGTGTAATTGCAAATGTGAACTCCAATGACTGGGTAATAAAGTCTTGTGGAGTCACATGGTTTCCAATTCTTCTTCACCAGAATTGAAGAGTGACCTAATCACAAACTGTCAAATGACAGATGATTCAAAATAATTTTCCCATAACATCACTAATGTAATTTTTGGCACATAACTCAGAATTTAAAAAAAAAAATCCAGCCATGCTGTTCTAGTGAAACTCCATCCATTCCTGTCTATCCATTTATGTGAATCAGATTCCAAAGCACTCATATCTAAGGGTAAAAAACAGGATGGAATTGATGCTGAACTCCACTTATTCTTGCAATCAATAAGCAGTATTTATCTAAAGATGAATTAATTGTGTATGTGAGAGAGGGGAGGGAATTGAGTAAGCCCATTTATCTCATTAACGCACTTTTAATAAATTTTCCTTAATGGTTAACAACTACTTATCCAAACATATAATACATTTATGTTGTTTTAATCAACTATATAATTGTGGTGATAATTCTATTCAGCAGAAATAATTTTTCAATTTTTATTGAAACAAATTTTTTAGTGAAACAAATTTTTGTTCCAAGAAATACAAGAGGATATTTAATTAAAGATATTCAATTCATTCTCCAGCACCTCCTCTAAAAATAAATAAATAAACCTAATTACTTCCCCACAACCATAAATAAAATAAAAAATAAATTTAAAAAATTTTAAAAGATATTCAAACATAAAAATAGGTTACAGTAAGATGAAATTCTATGGGGGAAGTGAATGAAAATATGAGTTTAAGGAAACAAAGAAATGATATAAAAATTCTGTTAAAAAGTATATTCATGTATTTTTTTAACAGATGGCAGTGGTATTAAACTACTTTTATATTTAGGTTACGTGAAATACAGATAGAGTAGTGAAGTAATTATGTCATTTAAAAATGTCATATAATATGCTAAGAAATGACATTTTTTGCAACTATTTAAACTTAAAACAAAAATTTTAAGTCAACGTAAAAATGTGCAAGGGGATACACATTAAAAAAAATTATTTTAGAAGGTAAGCAAGCAAAAAGGTTTAAAAAACCTCTTGTCTTAGAAAACACTTTGCCCCAGTAGAACTGTTCTTGCTCGTCATATGCCCAGACAAATCACTGTCCCCTGGCGACTCAGCTGTACTGAAAATCTACCTCATCACTGATGAGCACATGGATTCCTGTTGGCCCCTGCTTGTAGATCTGGCTGATCTGGCAAGGGGAAATGCTGAAAAGCTGTGCAATTTTTTCAGTCAGTTCAACAGCTGTCAGTTCTTCTAGGTAGATGGCATGGTACACTGCAAAAGGGAGAGAGAAACGGCAGTCAGTACAAAGCTTCTCTGCTCTTAAAGGTAATGTGACCACAAGGAATGCCCATTTTTCTGAAAGACACAAGAGGCAAACTGCCTGAATTCAAATCTCCACTCAGCCACTTACTAGCTGTGTGCTCTGGGGCAAGTTACTTAACATCCCTAAGCCTCATTTTCCTCATCTAAATGTTGGAGAGACAATAAAAACTACTGCAAAGAGGACACACCAGTTGTAAAAATTAAAACATGTAGAAGTGCTGAGAAGGGTGCCTGGCGTGTATTAGGAGCTCAGTTCACATCAGCGACTACCATTACTGCTAGCAAGGGCTGAATCTGCTATTTGAGAAATTCCCATCACACATGCTCGTAAGTCATCTCTTCATCTTCCTTCACATCTGTCCTGGCCTGTTCAGAACGACCTACCGAAGAAAGTACCGTTTGAGTCTCCATCCTCATGCTTCTGCTGCTGCTGCTGTTGCTGCTGCTGCTGCTCCCTGAGCTGCAAGGACTCCTGACAAACATAAATGGTTAGCCTTGGGCGCACCATCCTAAGGAGGGAAAAAAAGCTGTTAGCCAAATGTGCAGCTCATTTGCTGTTTTATTAACTCGTGTGTGTGTGTGTGCTGTTTTATTAGCTCGTGTGTGTGTGTGTGTGTGTAACTGAATTCCTTCCAACACAAGGCATCATATAAACCTCTGAATCTTTGGCTTTCCTTGAAAAAGTCAGATCTGGTGATCCAAGGCCCTCATTCTTACAAAAAACCAATCAGCTGTTCTACTTGTGTGGTACCTGCATCCTTCAGTATATTCCAGACTTGACTGTCATTTACATGTGGCCTCTGTAGTCATTTGAGTTGGTGACCCTTGATGTAAAGGTTAGAAATATTCAAAATATGTGAGTCACTGTTCTATAGGTCAGGTTCAAGATGAACCTTTTGCTTAAAAGCATCAATACAGTAAACCAGAAAACCTCCCTCATCACCTTGTCCTAAGTAGCTTTAGCCTTCCTTCTGTTCTTCTTAGATAATCATATTCAGTTACCTCTTAATCTGATCATCTTATTCCTCCCTATTTCTAAATGCTCTGTAGATAATACGTTTAAAAATGAAAGATCCATTTTTTTCTCCTAGTCATCAATTCTTGAATTTCATCTCTTTCCTTAAAAATTTCCAACTTGATTCAATATCTCTTATAATATATACACAAACACAAATAATTTACAATCTGTTTCATTATTTAGTCACTGATTTGGTTTTATGGCATTAACCGGTATGTTTTTTCCATTAATATTACTACTACTTATTTTGAATTGTAAGTCCCAAACAGGGACTAGAAATGACTCTGTATTACATGTAATATCTGTAAGCAGACACTTAAGCAATTCCTACCCAAACTTAAGAATGATCTCTTCTCTAGTAAAACTGACTTCAGGACTTTGCACCAACTGTTTCTTCTGCATAGAACGCTCTTCCCTCACAATACTCCAAAGCTTCCATCCTTCTTATAACTCAAGTTTAAATATCCGCTCCTCTTTCCTGGCCATATTCCGTGTACTCTATAGGCCATAACCTTGTTTTTGTTTGTTTTCCTTCAAAACATTTATCACTATTCAAAATACTTATTATTTATATCTTTATTTCTCTCCCCATCAGAAAGCAAAACTCCATGATAATGGTTATAGGAAAGGATATTTTTCATCTTTATTTGGTACATAGCTGGTTTTCAAAAAGAATGTTCTGACAAGATGTGTTTAGCTATACAAAGAGTATTATTCCTGAATCCAAATCCATTTGAAATCCAACCTCATTGATATTTAACACTAATTACATACCGGCCTTTTAATGCATTAAAAAGTCTGATTCCATCTGCAGGGCCACAGATTTGGATCACATCATCTCTAGTTAGTTTCAATAAATCTGCCCCTGGAATAAATATAAGAAAATGGGTGATAAAGGCAAAGGTTCTCTTTGTTAATGACTTCTAAAATGGACTCTTTTACAAGGACAGCTCTTTACTAGTATGCTATAGTCCATAATCTTTTGAACAGTATATAAGGTTCTCCGTGATCTAGCCCCTGCATCCTCTCCCACCTCAATTCCCACCCAATTAACTTATCCACTTCACCCTATGCTTTCACCACACTGGTCATGTCTAATGAGCAAGTTGTTCCTCCTGCCTGAAATACCCTTCCATTGTCTGACCAACAGACTCCTCCTCATCCCTCAAGATTCACTTCGTGCATCACACGTTCCCTAACTCCAGACCCTTCCACCCAAAACACTTCACTTTGTATACACTTATCTACTGTATCACAACTATTTGTTTACCTTTTTTCACAGTTTTATTTTGATTTGCATTTTCTTTGACATTAGATGATGACTGACCAGGAAGTATCCCTTATTCATTTGTATATAACTACCATACCCAGTGCACAGAAGGTGCTAAATAAAACTGGAATGAGCAAAGAAAATACAATATAGTGGTATCAAGGGGAAATTTTCAGACTACTGGCAAATGTTTCTTGATAAAATACTGTATGGAATATATATATATATTTAAAGTATTGTATAGAATAAATATTTTAAAAGTAAAATGAGTTTAAACTAAGAGGTCTTTCTTTTTGAGTATTTAACAGCACAGTTGCAGCTGGTGAGAAAGTCTTAAGAGTTCTATGAAATTCATTTAATCATAAAAATGCACTAAGATCTCCCCCCACCCCCACAAAACAACACAGGAATACCAGGAGTCCCCAGAATGTAAAGGAAATCTCATGCTGGGGAAAACAAAAGGACAAGCAAATTTAACCTGAGAAGTTTGTAAAAAGCCTTGTGAAAGTGGAAAAACGGTTTCGATGCAACCACTGCTGAGCCTCCTGAGGTGTGGTTGTTGGCAAGAGGTTCTGAAAGAGAAAACATTTTTGGGGGTAACTAAATAAATTCAACTTTTAAAAGGTAAACATTACATCATTAGGTAACACATAGCCAAAGACACCCCTGCTCAGACAGGCCGAGTTTGCTTGGAAGCTGTTTATACATCAGTCTTCTTTCTCTAACCATGCAAGATGTCCATGGAATTCCATCCTTATCTTCCCCACTAGACTGTAAGTTCCTTAAAGACAGCATAGTCTCTGGTTCATAGTCAAAATTTAATAAATGTTTGCTTAGTGAATGAATGAATAATACTCCCTAAAAGCTGGGCATTTCTACTGAATTATATAGTTACCAGAGTATTATTAGACATTACATATAACTGACATTTAATTCTAGACTTACATCTGTTACTGGAGGTGGTGGCTCTGGCTGGTGGTTTGGCGAACCATTTCTAAAGAAACATTTAAAATGAAAGGATGAGTTTGTGACACATACCAGGGTTCATCATTCCATTTTTCATTGCCATAAGAAATCTTAAGCTAGAGATTTAAAGGAATCTGTGCTAGCCCATAATATTGTCTCAATACATATATTGTCTGTTAATTTAGCATAAAGACTTTTTATTTGGGGGGGGACAGTAGAAACTATGTCATTTGCAACATTTTTTATTATTGAAGAAATGGAAAAAAATATCAAAATTCCAGTAAATTGGAACTGATCAGATAAATTATGGCATAAAGAATACTTAACATAAGTTTATTAGAATATAAACAAAAAATATCAGAATATAAAAGTAATCCATATATTACAACTATATTAAATACATAAATATACAAAAACATACAGAAAAAATTAGAGTAAAATGTATAGTGTGCAATGTGATCATGTATTGTATAATAAAAACAATAATTATTTTTAAAACAGCATCAAAAATTATTGCTAATTTGTGATCCAAGGGCTATCTCCACACTTGATTTTTCCCTTTACTTCCTTTTGCTGTAATAGATTCTCCCTCTTCCCTAATGTTTACTTCTTTTATGGGAGAAAACTTTGAGCCTAATAATGAACTACATGACAAAGAGCAGAGAAAATTTTACAACTTTTAGATCCTAATTAATATTTTTAATTGCCTATAAGTAAACTGTACAATCCATATGGGTATTGATAGATTTTTTTTCTTTTAAAAATTATCTTTTTCTTTCTTTGGCCTTAGCTGCAAAATTCAAATTCAGTAATCAAATTTAGTAATTACATTATCTCAGGGCCCTAGTTATCTATTCCTTCTACAATTTCTACCTATTTTATATTCTTAATTGTTCCATTTTGAATATTTAAGTTAACTTAATTAAATATTTTCCGAAGTAGGATAAACAAAGAGCCTAAATAAATTCAAAAACAAACATTACAACTGAACAGTATACTCAAACATTTCATAACCCAACTATTTCAAATTTCATTATGGCCTACGTGGAATACGTATTAAATGCTAGGACTATAAGACAACTTTTTTTTTTTTAAACTGGAGTGGGTGTCTGTACCAACTTTCAATGATCTCTGACAGTAAAAGACAGTAAGGCAAGATTAAATGCATCTCACAGATAATTCCAAAACTTCATTTTAGCTCTCATCTTCACCTTCTTCCCCCAATTATCAAAGATTCATAATAATTAGGTGTGAGGATCATTCTTAATAAGTAACCAAACAGATTTTAGTGTTTGCACAACTGTGTTTCAATTCCCAATGACTACTCCCTGGTAAAAGTATGATCAGGAAGTGAAATAACCACAAGGTAAGCGGTAAGAGGAAGAAGTGAAAAGCCCAGAAGATCAGTCCCTGAATCACTGAAAACTGACCATAAATGGTATTTTCTAATAAGAGGGAAAAAGAAGAGAAAGGCGACATAAAACGCTTTCAGTCTCTTTTGAAGATAATCCAGACCTCAGTTAATACATAAGTCCATCAAAGGCTGACCAAATCCAAGTATTTATTGGTTTGGAAAGATTTCTTTTATGGAAAGATAATGAAAGAATACATATTTAGGACAAACACAAGCCAATTTCATTTCTCAGACTTACCCTTCCCCAAGAGAAAAACTGCTATGAGAACTGTTAAAGCCAGGTGATGGGGAATTATTGACATATGTGATCTCAGGCCATGGAGAACACTAAAAACAAAGGACAGCTTAGACACTGCAAAGAACACTTGACTCTAGAGTTCCACCACAAAACACTGTTACTCAAATAGCAAGTAAATCTTGGTTTCTCAGAGGCCCTCACAACAAGACGGCAAGTAAGTTCTGATCAGGCTGGAAGCGATGTTTCTTTTTTTTTTTTTAATTGAAATATAATTGACATTAACACTGTGTAAGTTTTAGATATACAACATAAGGGTTTGATATATGTACACAGTTGACCCTTAAACAACTCAGGTGGTAGGGGCACCAACCATGCTCCCCCAGCATAGTCAAAAGTCCAGGTACAATCTGACAGTCAGCCCTCTGTATCTGCATCCTTGGGTTCAACCAACTGCAAATTGTGTAGTAATATATGACATATTTAGTGGGAAAAAAAAAATCTCTGTATAAGTGGACACATGCAGTTCAAGCCTGTGCTGTTCAAGTCAACTGTATATTGCAAAATGATTGGCTTTTTCTTTAAAGAGTAAGAAGGACTGACTGAAATTGTCACCAAAAGAAATCCTTTTACCTCTGTGAGTATTGTTGTCTCATAGGAAGGTTGATATTTCTCCTTCTCATGAGGTGTTCGTTTCTCCATTTTCTCCCTATCTGTTTTTTGCTTTCTGTCTGCGCCTTTGGGCTGAAATGAGAAATACTTTGTTTTCAACTCAAGTCCTCACCCTTCAACCCAGCAATATTACTTCTACAAACTCAACAGTCACAGGTAAAACAAAAAGCTATGCATAATGAGGCAAATACAATATGTATCATTGTATCTAAGTTTGAAAATAGGAAACTTAAATGTTTGGGAGGGAGATAATTTGATTGATTGATTGACCGACTGATTGATTTACTTACTTATTTAATGGAGGTACTTGGGATTGAACCCAGGGCCTCATGCATGCTAAGCACACACTCTACCACTGAGCTATGCCCTTCCCCTCAGGAAATTTAAATGTTTGATGGAGTAGAAAAAGAATAAGAGATCTACAGCTCCAGACATGGAAAAATCTCCAAAGCACATAGTTAATTGAAAAAAGCAAGCCCCAAAACAATTCAAGCAATACAATCCCATTTATGCTTCAAAGAAAAGAAAACATGTGTATCTATGTACATGTGTATATAAGAGCACAGATGGGAACTAGAAGGTTACATACAAAATTACTAACAGTGGTTACGTCTGGGGAGAGGCTACAGAGTCAGGGTAAGAGTGGCAAAGGGGGCCTTCAGTGTCTGAATACTTTTGTCTTGGTGAGTCTTTCTCAATGAAAACGTATTTATCCATATGATATTCATATGAGCCCTTTTCCAAGTTCCCCTTCTCCCATACCCATCCCTACTTAAATTTCTTTACTGTGCATCTCAGTAATTATTTCAATACCTCTAATTTAGGCTGAGCTCTCCTAGTTTTTGAAAAAAGACAATTTGACTTTCCGACCTGGTGACTAAGGTTACAAATGAAAGACAAGGGAAAAAGTTCCAAGGGCTGGCACGATGCCCAGGAATACCTTGAAGACTTTGATCTGGCAGCTGGCTGAGTGTAAGTGCTCAGTATACTCCCCATTCTCATTCTCCTTGAAGGTATCAATTTGTACTCGAAATGGCACTCCCTTTTCTCCACCATGTTTCCTCATAGTGAACTCTGTGCTAATGCAATGCACCTGAAAAGAATGTAACAGTACTGTTAGCCAAACCTGTCAGCAACGTTGTTGGTAAAACAGTAAAACCTTTAAAAAGCATTATCAATACCTACAAAAAACCTTTTACTCTTTTTGTGATCTTGAAGAATTTACACTCTCGTGAGGTAATGAGGAAAACTGAAATGATTTACAAATGCAAACAAAGTAAATGTACAGACGTGATGCTACCGAAAGCTACTATGAGGAATTCAATTCATTAAACTGCTTCAGAAAATACAGAAATAACATAATAGTGAAATGATTTCTGTTAGTAAAAGTTTCCTGAACTTTATGGTAGATTTTAGAAAGCAGAGGCACCATCTATGATGGGAAAATAGTCAGTATGAAAGCTCACAAGCAATAGAAAGAAACAGGTTTGCTGGGCTCCTGCATAAAGTCTAAGACCTTGGCAAATCTAATAGTGGAAACTTGATCAACCAAATACTAGCTTGGGTAAGTTATTAACTTCTCTAAACCTCAAAGACTATTGTTGTTTTTATTTTATTTTAATTTTATTTATTTGGGGGGGGAGGTAATTAGGGTTTTTTTTTCCCAAGGGACGTACTGGGGACTGAACCCAGGACCTTGTGCATGCTAGGCACACACTTTACCACTGAGCTATATCTCTCCCCCTAGGACTATTCTTACTCCACAGGATTATTGTTAAAAGTCATAAATAAAATCATGTATAAAAGGTGGGTTTTGTTTTTTTTTATTTAACACAGTGATTATCTCATGGGAAGTGCTCAATAAACTACTGGCTATCATTATTACAAATAAGAGTTTTCAAGGAATCTACCCAAAGGACATAATCAGATATGCAAATCAAAATTTAAATATAATGCACCCAAATATTCATAGCAGCACTATTTACAATAGCCAAGATATGGAAGCAACCTAAATGTCCATTGACAGATGATTGGATAAAGAAACTGTGACACACACACACACACACACACACACACACACACACACACACACACACAAGAATATTACTCAGACCAAATAAAAAAGAAATAAAATCGCCTATTTGACAAACAACAGTGGATAGGAACGTGGAGTATTGTACATACTCAGT